TAAAAGAAAGCTATATTCTTTCCTTTAAAAAATTAGTGTCACTGGTGTTAAATATAGTAAATAAGAAAGTTTTACCCCATACCCCTACAATTATACCCATACCCCTACATTTTTAAAAAATATACCAATTTTATTCCTGTCTATTTTTTATTATTTTAATTTTTTACTTTTTACTGTCCTGTCAGATTTTCAGAGTTTCGAAAAATTCACCCATCAAGTCGTTCAGAACACTTTTAAAATGACTTCCGGTATGTTGTTTTTTCCATATCGGAAGACTTTGGCTAAGAGTTCTGGTTTATACAAAATATGTACCGGAAGAGTTAAACAAAGACTTCCGGTTTGAGTTTTACGTAGAAATCTTCCGGAAGACTATATGTCATGTCTTCCGGTTTGGTAGTATTATTTACCGGAACACTTGTCTTAAGAGTTCCGGTATGAAGGAAAAGTGTACCGGAACACTTTTTACAAGTCTTCCGGTTTATTATCTTTGTCTACCGAAACTCTTTTCCTGAGTCTTCCGGTTTGCTTTTGTAAAAAAAAAATATGCAGGTACAGAAATTCCTTCACAAATATGCGATAAAGATCAGATATGTGTAGATACATCTGATGTTTTTTCAACTACTCAAAGATTTGGTACACGAGAAGAGGTGATAAGATGGATTGAAGAGATCGAAATCCGAAATAAAGTAACGGTTATCATCACTCGTTCAGATATTGAAATAGGCAAGAGAGGAAGAAGTAACAAATTAATATTTGGATGTGATAAAGGTGGAAAACACAAAGATATTGATAGTGGAACCCAGAGTGCGACGAAAAAATGTGGATGTCTATTTAGAATCAGGTCAATCCCAGCGACTGATGGATCTGGATGGAAGATTGATGTAAAATATGGAGTTCATAACCATGGTTTACCTGATAGATTAGAAGGTCGCGCATTTTTTGGTAGGTTGACAGCGGATCAGAAGCAAGTTTGTATGCCAATGGTTCGTCGAGACTTGGGGTTGGAAATAATACATAATGAAAGATCAAGTTTGTATGCCAATTTATTTACTGATCAGTTAGCAGTAGTGAGAGAATCTTTGATGATAGAGGCATTTGGTCCTCAACCACCACATAAATGGTTAACTCTACCAGATATGGGTTACGTGATAGTGAATCGTTATAATGTTGTACTTGTCTGTTTAGAATTTGAATGTTGGACTTTCTTTCCTATGACAACTTCATTTTCACCAAATGTATCATTTTACTGCATTGGTTTTGTAAACACAAATCATTGGGTTCAAGTACTTAGTTATTTTTAGATAATGTGATTAAACCTAATTCTTTTTTGTTATTTTTACTTAATATTTTGATTATTTTTTTATTTAGGTAAACATGAAAGAAGGGTTTCTATTGCCACCAGTGACAGTAGATTGGAAGAATTTTTGTTCTCCAGCAGCAACATCTTAGATGCTAGGATTTGCAGGACGTCTACAACATTGGCAACAACTTACGCCTATATTACCAACGCAATATGAATTATAAATTATGTTAATCATTTTTAATTCCACGCTACAAGTTAACACATAAACATAAACCAACTAGGTCAAATGAGTCTCAAAGTTAACACATAACCATAAATATAAGTCAACACGTCTAAAAGTTAACACATAACCATAAATATAAATATAAGTCAATGTGATCGAGCAATATGTAAAGCTTCGAACAACTCAGCAAACTGTGGATCATCCTCTTCAGCGCCAGCCTGTTGAAGATAACGATGAATCAATGAAGACACACGAGCCCAACTAGGATCAGATGGTCCTGCTTCATAAACAGGAACTGGCACCTCTCTTGGCACATCACGATGTGGCGGTACCAGACGAGGATGTGAAACACGATAATATCACTGAAGATATCCATCATCTGTCTCATATGGGGTGGTGGCCAGTGTTGTCGGGCGAATCACATCCCGAACGCTCTGATGGTAACTAATCCACTCAACATCAATATCACCAGCCATCGTATAATCAAGAGGTGGATGTGGAACATACTACCTATATCCAAACTGACGCATACATCTGTCAGACAAGTATGGAACAATAGTGTCACCCCACCTCAGACACCCCCTATATAGACATAACTCATCAAACTGACGCCATACTCTATGATTCTCGAATGGGCGCCGTATGACATCGGCAGGTTTCATCTCGTCCAGAATAGGTCGCAAGTCATCCACCTTCAGAACACCTTGCCTATAGGACTATCTCATCGCTCGAGGGAGACCCACATTATTAGCCGGTATCCAATTCTCTCCTTTTTTTTTCAAGTGTTGGAAAATACTCATGAATCCAGCATTGTTACAAAATTAATATTATTACTCAATTTAAAATAATTAATTATAACATGATAAATTAGATAAATAAAATTAATATACTAAATAAAATTAATTAAAACAAAATATACTAAATTAAAATAAATACTTGTAGGAGAGTCAGATAACCACCGAGCTGCTTACAACTGAACATGGAAGCATCTCCGAGATATCTATAGAGGGTAACCAACGCAGCTGCTCCCCAACTATATCTTGATAACCATTCCAAGTCTATAAATAATAATAGGTATCGTGCCTCGACAAGCGTAAACGTCTTGTTCGCAAAAATAGTGGATCTCACTAACATCAACAGGTAAGCTCTAGTCGCATAATCACATCTAGAAGCAGCTCTATGCTCTACAAATCGATCAATAACCACTCCAACTTATAATAAGAACCCTGCAGTCACGGACTTGTTGCTGTGACACTCCTAAGTAATCAAAATTTCACTCAATAGCAAGTTCTTCATTGATATCTTGAGGGCACCATATGACTCTCCTGATGGGCAAGTGAAGAAGGCAAGAGATGTCATCTGGAGTAATCGTCATCTCACCAAACGGCATGTGAAATGAAGATTTCTCTATATGTCATCTCTCTGCAAATGCGGAAACTAGGTTCGTGTCTATCTTTGTCAGACTGGTTCTTTGGAGTGAAGCTAGACTAGACCTAGATATCCAACCCTCCATCTCTCTTGGTAGTTGTAGTGGAACCCTCTGAATCAACTTCAACCCATGTCCTGCTACCTTTAACTCTTTCTTTGAACCTCTCTCCTGAAAACAATTAAAAGTAAATATATTATAAAATTCAACATTAAAAATTTGAATTTTATTCAATATTAAATAATTTTCGTTTACTTACCTCACTGAACCATATATGTCTAGCAATATGATGTTCGTACTTAACTAAAAGAGAGGTATCGTACGGTCCTCCTAGATATCCAACAGGCTCGGTTGCTGATGCAGATGCATCAATATGCTCTTCTTTAGCCATTCTCGATGATTCGTCCCGTCCTAATCCGCAAAAAGGAATCCTACCGTCTCTGCCTCGTGTGCGCACCACTGCCAAAATAAAAACATAAAAGAAAATTAAAAATTAATATTATATATACATACATACATATATATATATATATATATATATATATATATATATATATATATATATATATATATATATATATATATATATATATATATATATATATATATATATATATATATATATATATATATATATATATATATATATATATATATATATATATATATATATATATATATATATATATATATATATATATATATAAATGAACCGGAAGACTTGCAAAAAGACTTCTGATGAATTTAAAAAACTCATAATACCGGAAGACATACTTAAAGTTTTTCGGTGAACAAACGAAAAAAAACAAAAACCGGAAGTCTTCATCAATGACTTCCGGAAAGCTTACAACACCGAATGACTTACTCTAAGAGTTCCGATATATATTTTCTGAACCGAAAGACTTTTGAAATGTGTTGGAAGACTTATGCTAAGTGTTCCGGTTTGTAGATGAAAAATGGTAGTTCTGGAAGTCTTCAAATGCAAATGAAATGGGAAAGTAAAATTTCTAAAATTATAACTATTTATACGAGAATATTTTGGTTCAAAATTTTTTAGTGTAGGGGTATGGGTATAATTGTAGGGGTATGGGATAAAATTTTCAGTAAATATATATTATTGCAGTATTATAGCATTTGTTCAACCAGTTTTAAATTATCAAATTGTGAATTATGATATTTTTACATTTTTTAGGTGTTAGTGATTTTTTTAGACACCGAGTCATCCGGTTCAACCGATTTAATACCTATATAATTTTATTATAGTGACATGTTTATTCAACCAAATTTTCTACAATTCAACCAATGACCCAATAGTTCGACCACTAAACTAATGACTCAATATTCTCACTGGTTAACCAAAAATTTTAAAACATTGCTAGTGTATATTTAATTAAAACCCTGTTTGAATGTGTCCTTCCCTAAATTATACAAAGATACATTTTCAAAATAATTTCTAAGATATTCAAAAATATTATTATTTTATTTAAATTTTATTAATATATAGTTAAAGACTATAAAAATTAATCTACTAAATTAATATTTTTAAAAACATTTTTATAAAAATTATTTTAATAAATACAATGAATACTTCTTCCTATATTTCAATCTTTTAAGGAAATTATTGATAAATTGTCAATTTTACTTAGATGTCAAAATTATAAAATATCAAAGCAATTACAAAAGGGAACACAAGTCATTCACAAATACGGAATATAACTGAAGAAAAGTATTGAAAAGAGGAATATATTTTTCGTCCACCACGTAGTTGCAAAATATTTATACAAAGATGATCCACCCTATTTGTTTCACAAAGCAGCTGCCCTAGGAAGTATTTGTTTCTCCTTTTTAATCCTCAATTTACAACATCATTAAGATCCTCCATTCATCCCCAAACAACGGAATGTAATGGAATTTTACACTAATTTCGTGATTCAAGTTACAAGATCTCGGTGAACCTCTGAAATGAACTCATAAATAAAAAAGAAACTAAGATCTACTCTTTAACAGTTCAAAATTTAAGAAATTATACTGCGGACGGGGAAGGTGGATCATCTCCATTTCTCTTGTAGATCTTTCCTCTCTGATAATACCCAAGTAACAAATAATGCTGCTACAAGGGCAACAATTGTTAGAAGAAGTAGAGCATAGCTGAAATCTTCAGTCAGTGAATCGTAAGTCCTAGAAGGAGCAATCTGAGTAAAAAATAGATCTACTCCGTAGGCAAAGACGAGGGATGTAGATTCCAATTTGGCGGGCACTGTTATTATACCTCGCAGACCTTCTACTTTTAGGGAATGTGTAATATAGGACTGCATAGATTCAAACAAAATGTGTGAATTTCAAATTAAGAAGTACATAAGCTTAAAGAGGAGCATGAGTGCTGAGTTGGTTTCAAATGCTTATCTAACTAGTATGCAAATGCAAACCACAACAAGTAAAAGCAGTGCTCAAAATGATATCTCCGTCCTCGTTATCAATTACCAGTTCACATAATGGTATGGCATACTAGGAACAAGGAAACTTCAGATGAAAATATACCTGAGAAATGATCGGCAATGAATCAGTAAGAGGAATAATTCCTTCTTCTTTCTCAGCTTGTGAGGGATTGAGAGTCCGCCGGGGATCCAAAAATCGTTTATCAAGTGCCAAAACCTGCAGTAACAAAACAAAGTACAGTTAGAGTGCCATTAGATTGAATTGAAGAATCAAATTAAAATGAGAAAACAGCAGATTGTTTTTTTTTAATCTGAAGTTTTCATAGGGGAAAAACAGCCGTGCAAATAACTCCTACCTGATCACCAATTGTTCCGATAAGTAGCTGCTTAGAGGTTATACCCTTATCAGTTGAAGTCACTTCAATGGCTTTCACAGAGTGAGTAAAGAAGTATGATTGTGATTTTGCTGAGATTTCTGGACGATAATAAGACGAGATGGGCGATGTAAGATTATGCTTCCCAAGAACAAACTTCCAAATATCTTTGTTATCCTGTGAAACATTCCAGCATGTCACATCAGAATGAACAGACACACAAACACAAGAAATATCGAAAGGGTGAACATGAAAACCATGTAAAAAAATATTAATATAAACAAAATAAGTTAGCAAGAACTATCAAATAACAGTACATGCTGACATACCGCCCGAGACTGGTCATAGACCTCAATAACTGACATCTCATGTCTATGAGCCCTGAGATTAAAATAGTGGTAGACAACCCAGTTCTCACTAAATACCTACAGAAATAATCATGTAATGTGAGAGACAAATTCATATAATACACCTTTTGAATGAGAAGGTAGCTCAAAAGCTTACAGCATGAACAGGACCCTGGCAACCATGATGGGTCATGCGATGCAATATGCGACCAGTCACGGTATCAATGATATAGATAACCAATGAAGCCTCCTCTGGGGTTGCTGTTCCGATTTCCCCACTGGCTTTTGGTGCTGCATTTGCAACAAAGAGTATATTCTTTGATATATACTTGTACAGGACATCGTGGTCAGTCATAACTTTAGCTTGAGTGTGAACAACCTAGATGAAACGAGAAAAAGAGACATTTAGGAAGAAATGACCAAAGACTCAATGAAAGAGAAGGTAATTAAAAATTTTAAGCGTGTTGAAAACCTTTAATTGTCATATTATTTGTGATCATTTGTTATACTGAAAGATAGTTACATATACACTCAAATGACTGTGGCAAAACTAAAGGCATGCTGCTTTGGGAGCATAACCAAACTTGGATATTAAGATTGGCGAACATTACACTACTTGATTATTGATAGATCAACATCAAATCAAAAACTTAATTTCATTCTTTATAATTACATTGATTTATTTATGATAAAACCCCCCTCAAGAGACAAGTACCTGTCAAGGAATGCATATATTCATTAAAAGAAATAGGTATTTTGAATAATGCATGTTTATATAACTCAGATGGGATATTAATTTTTCTGAAACATAAGATGATCCGTATTAGATGAAGTAGAATATAACAAAAAACATTCTTTTAATTGAAAACCTCAAAACCAAGGCATCATACCTCATTTGATTTTCTTGTCACTGTTGCAATAATCTTTTCTGATTCAGATGGGAATACAATTGACCATAAGTCCCTGGAAACAAAGCAGTATTCATCCACTACTTCATGAATGCAATTGCTCTTCAAGGCATGACCTCTAATAACACCATTATCAAGCTCAACAGAGTACCAGTATACATTTGAAAACTCATGTTTCAGAATCTCAATAGCTTCAGGAGTTCTTGGGTATAAATGTGCATGTCTGTTTACGTCTATAATAAGATGCAGACGCTGTTCAGTTGAATCAGTATAAGGCAATGGAATAACTCGAGCAACAGTATGAGCAAGATTCAGAGAATTGAGTTCCTTCCCCGAGTATGCGTCAAGGAATGAAAGAACAGTTGGTGCAGTCAAACTTGGTCCGCATCGCCCAATGACAAGAATAGATGGATTCTCATCCAGTGCATGATGATGCGGAACCTGCCATTGATAAATGTTAAGCCCAACTGGATGTTCACACACTTCTGATTTACGCAGAGTATGAAGCGCCGTAGACCAAACTACATGTCCATCCCCGGTATGCAAAGCAAAAACCTTTCCTGCCCTTGTAAGTACTATAAGCAACTTACGAAAACCATTATGATCACGAGTCATTTTGCTTTTCTCAGAACTCCTCAACCTAAGTTTTTGAATAGCTACTTTATCCTCAGGGCTTGCAATCATAAGAGTTCCTTTGAGTTTCAGAACATGTCCCTTTCAATAATAAATTGCCACGTGAAAATTCCACTATTAGAGCAGTAGTTAATGATATCAACATAAAATCATAATTTTAACATTGAAACAAAAATATATACATATAGAAACATGTCAAGTGGAAATGTGAGAGGATCTAAACTTGATGACCATACAACCATACAGTAACATACAAGATTGTTTGCTTCAAGACAATCTTGATCATACATTTATGTTGGTATGGCAAGATTAATTCTAATGAGATATACTCTCTCACTTGACACACAGACAAACACACATGTCTACATTAAAAAAAAAGGCAGTATCATGTCTTTATCACACAAATCAAGGGCATACCTTAAGCCAATCGAATAGGTTCTGTTCTACTTTTGCCACAGATACACCATCCTTTTCCACAGGTAGTTCTGATGTTGTTACATCAACCACTGAGGCAAGACCATCCTCTCTACTCCAGACGATTTCTCCTTGTTGAACTAATAGAAGTGAATGATCCTCCATTACCATCAATGCTCTAAACCCATGAGATCTATCGGTCCTGACATAATTGTTTATGAATATCTTCTCAATATTTCCTCTTTGATGGTCTACTACCAAGTCTTCCTTTAGCAAATCACCATTCCAATCATTAACATCCTTTACAGATAGGTGAATTTTATTGTCTTCATATTGAACAAATGCAAAAACATGTTGATTCTCTGAAACTGACAGGGCATTGCTAAAAGCTGCTGCATTATCAATTTTGTCCACCAGCACCAACTCACCTTCATTTGTCACTTTAATGAAAAGAACATGGGAATTGATTTTTAATGCAAACAGTCCTGGAAGCCTTGATGGTAATATTACTGCCTGTCCAGACAAATCCTTGACAAGGTCTGAAATTTGCTTCTGGTTGTAGTTAATATCTCCATTATTGAAGTTTATTGTTACTATCTTTGACCTTACATCATCCAATACCACAAACTTATCACCTGGGACTGATAATGATTCCCCAGAAGTTCCAAAAGGAAGTGTTATATGATTATTCTTTAACAGCTCTCCATTCTTAGCACTCAATTCATACACGTAAAACTTTGAAGAACCAACAAAACCAGCTACATAGATCACTTCAGGAGACTGAATAATATGGTTAACTTCAATGCTGCAAATATAAGATAAAAAACATCAATGGCACTCTTTTGCTTGAAAAAGAATATTTGGCTTATCAAACTCCAAATCTGTCATACCTCTCACCGGCAAAATCTTTCCTCCAGAGAATTTCACCGTCTATGCCAGAAATGGCATGGAGATACCCTTTACCATAAACAAGAATCAAATCATCTTTGTCAGCTTTCAAATTTTTCTGCAAACGGTAAGAACTACAGTTAATTGCATGTCTTAAGAAAGTATCCATGCACTCCCAATTTCAGGTACAACTAAATAAACCAAGGCCAATGAAGGTCGTGACAGTAACAGGGGGCCAGTGCAGATTCACAAAGATGCCAATGCAAACAAAATTACCCTGCCCCACTATCAACCCACCAAATAAGGGTGGGTAGGTTAGCCCATTTTGAAAATTGGGTTGGTTAAGCGAACCCACAGTTTTATGGCAGTCAACCTATTTTAACCAATGAAAATTTTTAATAAAATTAAGTCATTAAGAAGCAAAGTTGAAATGAATAGAGCTTCTGGAAAAAAAATCATTTAGTGAGATAAGATGTAAAAATGTGAATGAGAATAGAAATTAAGTTTGGATTAACAAAAAGTTTCAAGTAATATTAAAAAAATAACAAATTAATTTTTTTTGAAAGACCGGGTAGATCAACCCCCCGATCTACCTCCAACTCGTGGGTTAGGAAGCCGGGGGTATGTAACCTAATCCACCAAAATGACAGGTAAATAAGCTTGACCGGAAAGGCCAAATCTACTTTCCACCTCTACAGATTCATATGACAGTGCCAGGAAAGAAATACGAACATATGAGAATTGGGTCTGTGAGGAAATTTTAGGGGATTTGGGCTGCAGCACCAAAAAAAAATGTTAACTTAAAGACCATTTGGCTGAATGAAAGTATAGCTTAGTAATCTTGGGCGCTGGGGTTTAAGAATAAAAAGATACATACACTAAAGTCGACATCATAAAATTTATCACAATTTTTTAAGAATAAAATATCAGATAAATTTACGGAACTGTTGAGAAAAGAGTAAATTCTAAATGGCTCTTAGTTTCAGTTTTCATTCAGAGGGTTATTTAGATCCAGAAATCCTAATGAAAAGAAAGACTAAGTTTTGTCTGGATCTATCACATCTAATTCCAGAGTTTGGACCTTAGAATAAATTCCCTTTTCTATTGAATTATATTTCAAAGGCGTTGTCCGTTTTCAAACCGCCACTCAGTTTTTCATTGTCAAGTTTAAGGGAAACACTTTTATTTGGTCTATGACATAACAATGCCAATGATGTTGCTGATGCCAAATATAAGCTGCAAGTGAGTAAGGCTACACAACTATTTGTCCATGACATTATGTAATTTGCAAATACGAAACCAAAACGTGTAATCTTTAAAATGTTTAGTGACTAGTAATATGTGTAATAGAATGTTTGCATATTGCAGTATTGTAAAGTTTAAACATCATGCGGGGCTTTTTATTAGCTTTAAAGAGCTTCCATATGAGCAATAACAAAAACCTTTCAGTTTATATATGACCGCTCAGTATTCATAAGTCTGAAGGTTCAAGAAAATAAAAATACTGTTGCAATATATTTGCATTACCATGACGCATTTAGCTAGAAAGTAGGGATTGAATCTGTAAGCGTCAACTTACGGCACCTTATTTACTAAGTCATTCATCACAATGCATATTAAGGAGGATTTCTTTAGTTATGTTTGAGAGAATTAGAAGGTCTTCTGTATTAATTATGTTCCAATTTATGTATCAGTCCTTCTCACAGCTCTGGAGGACGCTCACTTTATGTATGCATCCTTTACACAACTTTGGAGGATGTTGTACCCTTTATATAAGATATTGTTTTCTTTTTCGTTTTTGGGGCATTATTACTTTACTCAATAAGAAACCACAAATCACATTCATATGTATATAACAAAAAAGTTATGGTATTCATTAGATAAACTCTTACAGGAATGTTTAATATTGACTTTGATTCCTTTGATCCCTGAAGGGAAGACTCCCAAACCATCTGCCCATCAGGTAAGTTCCATGCTCTCAATATACTTCCACCAGAGGAAAGAGTAATGACATCTGAAGCATTTAAAAGAACACTTATGAATTCATTAAGTAGTATTCAATAAGACTAAAACAAATCTTCATACAGAAAACAATTCACTCCAACAAAGTAACAACAAACACGTAGGAAAAGACAAATTAACAACACTTTGAGCTAAGAAATCACTGCAATCTTTGTACTACTGCATAACATTCTTTAATTATTGTTAGTTTGGAACAATGAGACAACAAATCCACGAAATTCCATTGCTTCCCAAGATGCAGGTAGTCAAACAGACATATTTGGTAAAAACTCAAGAGACATTTGAAAGTGAAATAATTTGAGGCAAACCTTACTCTTTTACAAGAAAGATGTTTACTATTTGATATCTTTATGCAATTAGAGTGAGATGAGCATCAGATAGATGCACCTAGGTTTTAGATCTGCAATCCCAACACCTTTGTGTGCAACCACATATGAGGATTACAACAGAGAATGCAACAACCGGATTGCAAGTGACTATGCATTTATGAGGAAATATATGACATATTGGCGATATTTGGGTCAAGAACTTCTTGTTCTTCAATTGTGTTAGCAGAAGAAATCCAAACAAAATATATTTTCAAAGGGCAATACAAGCTTCAAATAACTATATTGTGTAGAAAAAAGGGATAGAAAAGGATCATGGTAACAAGAAGAATCCTCAACATTAACATCACATCTCAATGTCGATATATTTTTATAATAAATTATAACACTGCAGTATAACTTCTGTGGATTACAATCAAAGCTAGATAACATGTAATATCACTTTTTATTAAAAGATACCAAACAAACACGGATTAGGCATAATACATTTTCCAAGGGCAATGTCAATTCCATCAACAACATCATTGGTGCCAAGAACATGCCTCCAAACTGCAAGCAATAAAAACACAATTCGTCATTTTCTAATTCAAAACAAAAGAAAACAAATAATCAAGCCACCAAACCACGGTTATAGCTTGGAAAGGCTTGATTTACTTTGAAAGCAATATTGATCATAATTCATAAGCCATAATCTATGGTAGCTTCAAACACAATATAACATTTCTAACAACTAAACTGCAAAAACAGTTGAGCAAATTAGCCATACAAATCTCTCCATGGCGAAGGTCGAGTGAAGCCACAACATTCTCTTCAGTGGACACTAAAACACGCTTCCGCCCAGTCTTTTGAGTATGAAACACAGCATGCTTTACCTTCCCAATATACTGTTGATGCCTGCAATTAGTAGCCAAAACATATCAACCACTCACTAACATTTAAAAACCATAAAAGCAAAATTCAGACATCAAAATCAGAGTAATCAGTTTTCAAGCATAAATTCAATTCAATTCAAAGATAAAAACCTATCAACACATCAACTAGGGTTTAGATTAAGTAGCTAGTACTTGAAACAGCATCAACAAGTTTCAAATTAGAAAGAATATCAAGTGAAAGCAGATCGAGTTTTTCAGAGCGATCGTTTCGAGTGAATAATAAAAACGATTTGAATTGAAGGTAAAGCAACTCATACAAATCAAATTCTCGCGTGAGTTTGTGTGTGAATGAATAAGAGTGATTGAACTCACCAATCCATGAGACCAACTTGATCTTCGTAAATCGAAGAAGCAAGATTGGTTAGAGAGAGAAAAAGAAGAAGAGTGAGAAAAACCCTAATCGCCATGGTGAAGGCGATTCAGCCACACGGAGGGATCTGAGGAGTGAGTGAGTGATGAATATTGTTAACCTCGCTTTCCACGGCGTTCTTTAGGAAGATATAAGCCGACTTTTCCCAGAACGCAAAGTTTATTTTGGGTTAAATTTTGGTTGGTCTAATTAAGGTCACTTTTAGTATTAAAATAACAAACAAAATTAGGGGTAGTTTAAATTATCAATATTTATTGGAAAATTTTGGTTAATATCAATATTTTAAAAATCGGCTAGAGATTAAAATGATGTAACATGTGATTTAGGGTTTAATTGGTTGAATCGGTTAAATTTATAGTTAAGTTGTTTATTAAATAAATTAATAATATTAAATTATATATATATATATATATATATATATATATATATATATATATATATATATATATATATATATATCACATAATTATATATGTTCACAATTTAATAAAATAAATATTTTAAAAATTCATTACATATTTAATACAACAATATCGATAATATATAATTTAACATAATTCTTCACTTCATTTCAATTTTGAACAAACTATAAAATTATAATAAAACAAAGTAAACTAATTCAAACCAAAATTAAAATAATAGAATATAATAACTAAAATAAAGTTCGAATAAAAAAAAGTATCTAAATTAAATAAGATAAAATACCAAAATATAAATAATATAATATAATTCATTAAACAACGAAAAAGAATTTAAGTTGAACTACGACAAACAAGTCTTAATTGACAGCAATAAACAATATTAACTAGAATGACAATCAATATTGAGTTGAAAATCGTGAATATGTTTGAAAGAGATGACATGATAATGATAGAGTGTGGTTTAAATAAATTATAATCTAGTGACAAAACTTAAAAATTTATATGGTTGTAAAAAACACACGAAATTCTTTTTTGTAATTGGAAAATGTATGTTAAATTTTAATATTAACATATTAAAATTAAAAAAGAAATAAATAAAAAAATGGTCAATTTGATGCATTTTTTTGAATAGAGCAGTTTTACAAAATCAGCTCCGGTTCGAATGATTTTGGACGGTTTAATCCGATTTTTCTGATTTTGACCCACAAGCGATTTTAAAAGATTGATCCAACTGAATTCCTCTCTGATTCCTGGTCCAACCGATTGAACCGGTCGGTTTTGACCGATTTTTAAAACATTATTGTATACCCATTAGGATTTTTTTATTCGAATAATCTATTTAAAATATAAACAAATTATTCCACTTTAAAAATTAACTTTTTGGTTTAAATACAATCTTTTAGTTTGGACGTTTTAAACAATTGATTATCTATCACAAACTTTTAATTTTGATGACCTTTAAAATTTCGTGATTCTCCTCCACTCTTGCAGATGTAGCATTGAAGATTGCGATAAAAAAATATTTTTTTTAATTAGGTGAATAGGATGACTAGATTATTTATTTATTAATATTTCTTTTAATTAATACATTTTTTAAGAATTTCATTTTGAAATTTATTTAGAAGTTATTTATTATAAATAATAAAAGAAGTTTATTGGACCTAAGCCAAATGTTTATTCTAAAGTAGCCAAATATTCATGATTATACAAGTCTTGTTTGAGTGATTTTTTTTAGCACTAGTTTTATTTGTTGAAAATTCGAAGTGAGACTTCCATTATCATACAAAACCAAAATTCTTTCAAATGCATATGTTAATATCTTATTCGTTGATGAGTCTAATTTATCAATGAAGAATCAAGTTAAACTGAGAGTTTAATAATGACTCATGTCTCACTCACGCTTACTCACATCTTAACATCGACTCTTATCTTAACAGCTTCGGATATAGACAAAGCACGGGTTCACCGACCATTACCTTTAAACAGTAAATGTCAAATCACCATAATGCATCCATATTATTTAAATGTCAAATCACCATAATGTATCCATATTATTTTTCTCATATAACAATGTTATGAGTGCAGTGCAGGAACATTCATTCATTTTAGTGTTTTTACTTATGGTAGAAAACAATGAGAGATAGTTTTCATCACAGCTACAAACTCCTCAAAATCGGTGCGGTGTAAAACAAAAAATACAAGGAAGAGACTAAAATGACACAAGTTGCAAACTGATATGGTCAAAATAAACTTTTACACGAATAAACTAGTTTCATCTAAATGATGTTAAAAAAAAATCAAACTTAATATGTTGTCAAGTGTTAATCACCCGTAAATTTCTCTTATGGAGGACTAATTATTTAAAACGCTCAAATTAAGGGCCTAAAAATATATTTAAGTCTAATTTCTTAAATATTCTAATTTGAAGTCTTAAATTTAAGTTTGTGTGGTAATTTCAGTTTATAATAATATATTTAGGTATGTAAAAAATTAATATAAACTAATAAATATAAACTATCTAAAATTGCATATTTTAATATTATACTAATAACAATACAAAAATAGTATTACTATTTATATGTTTTTAAGTTGATTGGCATGAGAGAGTTTAATAAAATAATATTTTTTTATAGTTTCTAACTTTGTCTATAAGTATGAGTTTAATGGATATGCATTTATTATATAAAATAATTTTATATTATCATTTTATAGGAATTTATTATTTAACTATGTTATATTATTAACTTTAAAATACAGTATAATTTGATCGAATACATAATAGTGATTGGTTGATAATATATATCTTATTTTTTCTTTAAATATATAGGCTCTTAAAAAATCATAATTGTATGTTTGAATTGTACATCAAATATCAAATTGCAATGTAGGTTTAACGCGAATTTTTTGAAGCTATAATTTGAAGCTTCTAACATTAGCATGATATTTCAACACAATTTTCTATAACTTGATAGATTATCAAAAGTATATTAAGTATTTTGTATTTGAAAAAAGAGTCTGGTGAAGTCATGCATAGGATATGTTGGTCGACCTAACATATCTCATCCGAAAAATGTTATTTGTAGATGTCAAATTTAAAAGCAACTTTGATAAGTCTTTTCTATTTAAAAAAAAGAGTCTGGTGAAGTCATGCGTAGAATATTTTGGTTGATCTAACATATCTCATCTGAAAAATATTCGTTGTAGATGTTAAATTTATAAGCAACTTTGATATGTACTAAATAGTCTTGGAAAAAACTAGAGCATGTGGTTATAACATGCGAATGAGACATGTGTAAGATTTAAAAAATTTCGAAGTCACGATACTTTGTCTGCATTAGAGTATTACTTAAATATGCTAGAAATGTCTTCATTTCTACAATGCTTATTGGAAGAAGAAAAAGGAAGGATGGGTACCTTCACACACTCTTACTCATTCCTTTATCATTTTGGAAAAGAGGAGGGAGATGTACCTCCAAACACTTTAACACTCAAGTCAGTGATCGTCAGATATGAGATGTATAAAGTCGTTAAGAGAATTTAATGAATACCTGATTTGACGTATGAAGTTCCTTTTTATAAGGATCCGCCTATGGTTTCTATTGACTAACATTCTTTAACTTTTATCTATACCATTTATACTGCAATGTGGTGAGATATAATTCATCATGCTATTTGACGATCCTTCTTTTTCCCTTTTTTCTTTAATTTTATTTATGTTTCTTATTTTCATAATAAACTATAATTTGATATCATATCACTGTGCATATCATAACTTAAGTTGCGAGATATTATTTGACACTTTATATATGCGTTAGAAAGCTAGAAGAAAGAGTTACAAGTTTTATGTTAATGTTAGAAGCCAATTCGGAGTGCATGGATTCAAATTAACAGTTTTTCTTCTAGATTTAATAAAACAAATTAGTTAGTTTTGGGTCAACTTATGTTTTTAGGGCCGGTGTTCTTAAAGCCAAATTTTCTTTATTATTTAAGCTAAACTCAACATTAGGGAAAGGGAGATAGCTCTTAGGAAATAAAGAAGATCTCTAGGATTACATGGTCGACTAAACGCCAAGGTAAATCTACTATTTTAGAATTTCATCAAAACTTTGAGGTTATTATATTATCCGTTTTTGTTCAATTCCTTTCATTCATGATTTGTGTATTCTTGTTTGCTTGGTTTAAGTTGCATATAATAGTGTTGATTAAATTTGACTAATGCATGTTCCTTAACTTCGCGTATTAACTTAGCTTATTCGTTAACTTTGTCCGATCTTTAGCCGTCATGCTTAATGCGGCAAATAGGAATATAACTCACATAGTGTTGATCATGGTTGTTAATCAATACTATAATTAAATAGGAATTGAATTTGCTTAAGGATTTGGTGATAAAACAACTGATGATAGTCTCAAATTATTGAACCAGTAGATTAATCATTTAATCATAATTGTAATCATCTTCTTTATTTTTAATTGTCTAGAAACCTAAAATATTTTTTTTTTCGTTTCTTTCCTTTGGTTAAATTAACTTAGAGTCCTTGCGGTATGACTCGAGTGTCACTTTCTTATACTACACTTCATTTACTCATTTTTTGATACGTGTGCGACAGCGGATTAATGTGTTTGATATTTATGATTAATAAATGATTATAAGGTAAGTTAGGAATCATAGGTAATCTAAGTCATGAATGAAGGTAAACTAATAGTTAATATTAGATACTTAGATGTATCATGAGATAGTGGGCATATAATGATATTGGTTTCGAAATGAATTAATTAAGATACATGTGAGGAATGTCGAGACTTTATTCATATGTCTGAAATGTAACTTGTATTAGGAGGGTAATTTAAGCAAGGTGGTGGGTCGTCCCGTAAAACAAACCTTGTCATAAAGTATTAGTAGGAAGTCACAAGGGTCGTAAAACTAGGCTTGATATGAGAAGTGCCAGTAGACAGTTAATGTTCTGCAAAGCTAATCATCTATTGAGGATACATGGTACATAAGAGTGAGTGTATCACCATTTCTACATTTTACGAGGTTAATTACACCTCAAATCCCTTTATTATATTTTTTGATACGCAAGTGCTAGAATCTAATAGAACTTTAGTAGTTATAAAT